AGCGTGGTGCTGGTGGCTGTGGGTGCGCAGCAGGGCAGGGGCCTGGGGAAGGGGAGGGCAGGGGTCTGGGGAAGGGGAGGGCAGGGGGGAAAGGAAGCCCCATGGCTGCATCGACCGAGAGCTTGGCTGCTGTGTTTGTGTGTGTGTGAGACTGTTGGAGGATGAACTTGCCTTGGTGTGAACCCCACTGGGCTTCAATCCTGTGTGAAATAGGCAGGGAAGAGTCTGGTCCCTGCTATCGGCACGGAGATGAGGGATTTCAATCCCAAACACACAACAGCAAACACCCACCAAGCTGGTTTATCTTTTTCTTTCAGTCACATTTATTGGCAATTTGTGGCAGTTGGTACCGTTTGGGAGTGTTGTTCCATAAGCAGTTGCAGTACAAGAAGGGGTGGTTATTTCGGGAGGGGAGTATTAGCACCAAAAGGGAGCCGGTGAGCTTTAGAAACCTTGCAGATGTACTGGAAGATGGGGAGCTACTGCTGGACACGCCTGATGGATTGGATCTGGGAGGTCTGGGCGTGCGAACCCCACTCTCTCCAGTGCTTGTAGTCTCCTCCATGGTGGTCAGCCTCCAGGACGTACTGGTAGCCACGGTACCCGGGATACTGGTAGCAAACCCAGCTGGAAGAAAAGGAGTCGTCAGGCGGCCATAAACGGGACGAGAGGTAAGTCAGGGGCTTAGGGGGCAAGCGGGGGGTGAAGGGGTGTCCCCCCTCAGCGACGGCAGCGGCTCGTCCCTGCCGCCCGTGGCCCTTTTCCCGTCACTTACGCGCCGCACTGGATCTTCATGGAGCCCACTTCGTTGTTGGCCCAGCCCATGGCCTGCAGCGAGGGGTAGTCGTCGCTTATCTCCCACTGGCGGCCGATGAAATTGTCTTTCTCGAAGATGGGGATCTTCTTGGATTCCTTGTGATTCTGGGGGGAAGAGCAGGGGGTGAGGAGGAGGCACTGCTCCTGCCCCGGTGTGGGTGGGGATGGTGGGGCAGTGTCCATCCCTATGGCATTGCTCAGAGGGTTTCCTGGAGGAGATGTTCAGACCCTGAACTGCTTGGGTTTTTTGGGGGATGATGGGGTTGCTTTTCCCAAAGCCCAGATGTGTGGAGGTACACAGCAGGGTAGTGCTGGGCCAAGATAGGGCAGGGCTTGGCCTGGGAGGTGTCAGTAACAGCTATGCCACAGCTATTCTCAGGCTTGCTGTCCCCCAGTCACATACAGCTGGCCCAGGAGATCCCTTGAGAGTTTTATAAAACAGGAGAGAAAGAGCAAATGCTGCTGGGCATGGGGGGGAAGAGCTGAGCCTGCTCCAAGGAGACTGCCACCTGCAGAGCCCCTGGCATGGCTGTTCGCCCTTCCTTAACCTCGCTCCCTTGGCCTGGTGCTATTGCTTGGGGCATTTTGATGGGATCAGAGGTGTGAGAGCTCCGTGGGACACTCACAGCGGAGCAGACGGGGCGGAAGGACATCAGGCGCTCGATGTGGTAGGCGTTGCTGCCGCTCCAGGCGTCCCAGCGCGGGTACTCTCCCCTCTCCAGGATGAACTGCTGCCCACAGAAGCCGGTGTGCTCGTAACCGACCCAGCTGCAAAAACAGAGCAAGGGCTGCCAGGGCTTCCTGCAGCAGCTCTGGGCCTCCTGCTCGGGGCCGGTACTGGAGCACGGATGTAGGTGCAAGGAGGAGGCTGGGGTCTGGCCTCTGCCCACAAGTCCGGGAGAAAGGAAGCGGTGCTGGATGTGGGCAGGAACCTGGGGAGCGTGTAACCGTGTCTGGTGCCTGGGAGGCAGCCCACATGGCAGAGCCAGCTCCCCTCAGCCACAGCGGGCGATGGGGCCCAGCCTGCGAGGGTGGCTCACTTCCCCTGTCTGCTCGGGGGTTATTTAGGCAGATTGGCATCACGTTGGGATGCCACAGGACACCCCTGGCTACCCTTCTCTCACAAAGGCCTCATCTCTTACTTTACAACCTGGCACAGCTGGAAAGACCTGAATTCCTAATGCCCAAACCAGGCAGAACCCATCTGGCTCTGGGCAGGGCAGGGAGCCGTTGCCTTTCCCCTTTCTGGGTTCCTCTCTTCACTGAAAACAAACACAGAGAGGTGAGAGGGATGTCTCCACCCTGCAGGACACATTTTGCAAGCCCTGGAGCTGCCCACATACCTTATCCAGGGGTGGGGACCTCTCCTGGGCAGGTCTCCTCAGTGGGACAGGGGACAAGACAGCCTCAGCTGAGCGAGGGGGCAGAGGCTGGGCTGGGGGCTGGAAGGTGAGCAGATGGCATAGGGCATGCAGCCCACAGACCCCATGCTTATGGGGTACATGGGGTGCTGAGGGATATGCTGAACCTGGGGGGCCAGAGGGCCTCTTCCCACTGACCTATGAGCCCTGATCCCATGTCCCACAGTCGGCCTCCCCTCCGTGCAAGGTGACCAGCCTAACAGGGAACACGTCAAGTGGAGCAGTGAGCTGATTACGGCGTGAGCGCGCATGCCGCTGTAATCCCATTAGCATTACAAACCCTAAATATAGCAGCACAAATCTATCTCGTCTGCTTCCCGGCCCCAGCGGGACACTTGCCGTGGGGACAGCGTCTCGGAGCAGCTCGGGAGACGCCTTGCCTGTGCCAGGGGAGATTCCCATGTGCAGGGAGAAGCCTGGCTCTGCTCCTAGCCCATGTCAGCGAGTGGGACGGCGCAGCACAGGCTGTGGGACGGTTCTGCTCTGGCCCTGGGGAGCTGCACGCTGCAGGGAAAGCACCAGCCAGAGCAGGGCTGGGCCCTGGGGCAAGAAAGGTGGTTTCTAGGCACAGTCCTTCACGGGGTTATACAGGCAAGGTGGGGACCAGGCTGAGCTCGAGAGCCACTCGCTGAGCACCAGTCTTCACCGCACCTCCGCAGGGCACCAGTGAGCTCCAAGCCTGGCTGCTCCCAGCCTGTGGGAGGCAGTTTTGGATGATGCCAAAAGGTGTTGGTGGCTCTCTTGTCTATATCAGTGCTCTCAGGGCCGGCTGTGCGACCCCAGCAGGGTGAGGTCTCCCCTGCCTGGCTTCCCCCCGCTCAGC